TCGTGGCGAAGATAGCCGACTTCGGTCTGTCCCGCGGTGAAGAAGTTTACGTCAAGAAAACAATGGTGAGAGCTTTCTGGACATTTTTAGAAATGTGTTTTGGTTTCATCCAGCAGAGGGCACAAGTTGTTTTAGGAGACAGAGACGGTTGTAAAATATCTTACATGTTGAAGAGAAAGTTGTTCTGATGTAACAGAGACTAATGAGCTGCAGAGATAAAAAGAGATCATGTTTTTATGACATCATGATGTAATATCTTTACTCTATCTATAATTATTTTTCTTCAAATCAAACCCAATAAATTTGATGGATTTCAGCCGTCGCTAAATACATTTTTCACACTTGTGAATCTCTGTGAAATGTCAAAACATGTATGTGAGTGGAAAATTGTCTTCCACTTATATGTGAGACACAATATAGACAAAATATAAAAACATCTTCATTTTAAATATTATTTTGATCGTTTATTTTTGCTGCTGTGTGTCATCATACAACAGGAGGAAATGATGGAGGTGGTGTTTGTCTTTCAGGGGAGGCTGCCTGTGCGCTGGATGGCCATCGAGTCCCTGAACTACAGCGTCTACACGACCAAGAGCGACGTGTGAGTTTCAGAGTTTCAAAATAATGTTTCACTGCTGCACTTGTTGCAGTAAGTTGGGTTTTCGCCACAGACCAATATTATCCACTGGATCCCGATAATCAGCTACTTTTAACCAATAACTTAATATTCATGATTCTTCCCTCTTATTTCCTCTTTACCTTTAAAGGAAGTTTTTAAAAAATATATAATGTCACCTTCCTGTGAAGTTTTGATTATGTGCTCCACACAGCCGGCCACAGAAAACAACAAATCATCCCTCTGTCAGTGGCCGAGTGATAATCGTGTGCTGTGTAACTGATAAGCACAACCAGGAAGCCTCGGGTTCAACTTAGCAGACGAACTGAGACGTTGGTCTGTCAACTGGAGCCTATTTATACACAGCAGACGACAGCTAACGGAAGGAGTGTGGAGGCTGCCTGTGGAGTCAGAGAGATTTATAAAGATGTTATAAGAAGAGAGTGTGATGAGAGATAAACAAAGAGAACATCAGAAAGCACAAACTGCACTTCTCTACTCTTCCACACGGTATTCTGACATGTTGAAGTGGTTAATGAATTAGATCATAACACCGGAAAGATAAAGGGAAGATATTCTTGTTGAGACACTCGAGGTTCAATCAGGTTCAATGTTGAGAAAGATCTGCATTAGTTAGTATTGAAAATAAAGCGTCAATACTAATTCTATTTTCTAAGCTTTCAAATTAAGATATTCTTCATGCAAAAGCAGAATTTTCAGCTCAATTTCTTCCCTAGAAACCACATTCAAGATATTTAATTGTTTACTGAAGATGTGGATTTGTTTTAACTTTTAATATTATCATAAAAGTCCCAGTTCCAGGAGACATTCTGTCAATTGTTATTATCAAACAATGGAATTCTTATATCACACAAATGTTCCTCTCTGTGCTCTTAATAATTTACTGACATTCCTGTCTCGTGTTTTTCAACTCTCTCTCCTAGGTGGTCCTTCGGTGTTCTCCTCTGGGAAATTGTAAGCTTAGGTAAGTGAAGCGGACCCAGTCGCTTTGGCAACAGACCATTTACCTCCATACTAGAAATAGAAATAGGAAAAGACTTGGAAAATACGTAAACGTGGTTGTGGTTTCATGTTATTTACTTGTTCAGTTGTATTTCCTCATCAATACTTTATTCTAAAAGTGAGAAATCATCTTGTGTGTGTGTTTGTGTCTCAGGTGGCACACCTTACTGTGGGATGACATGTGCCGAGCTTTATGAAAAGCTGCCACAAGGATACAGGATGGAGAAACCCAAGAACTGTGACGATGAGGTGTAAGTGTTCACTCAGCTGCTGCTGATGAGCTTTTTCTATCCATCTTCGCTCCTTTTCACCACATTCATCCTCGTGTGTCTGTGCAGCTACGAGCTGATGAGGCAGTGCTGGAGGGATCGGCCTTACGAGAGACCCCCCTTCTCCCAAATCTCCGTGCAGCTCAACAGGATGCAGGAGGCCAGGAAGGTAATGCTGAATTCACACAGCAGACATGGAAGAATGAGAAAGCGTCCTGTTGTTGCCTTTCGGGACAACTTTATTCCAAGATGGTTGGCCCATTGCAACTAGCCCAGTTTTATTGTTCTTTTCTCTTAAATTATGACGAGGAGGCTAAAGGGAACGTTTATTTTCTAATTTGCTGTTAAAATGTTGTTCTATGATGTTTAATAGGTCACAGATAGAACCATAGTATCCCTGTGATGTCCTCACGTTTCAGTCATTTAAAGAATCTAGGATGAAACGCTTCCCCTCCATCTTCCAGGCTTATGTGAACATGGCTCTCTTTGAGAACTTCACCTACGCCGGGATAGACGCCACAGCCGAGGAGGCCTGACTACCAGCCCCCCCAGGCCCTAGCATGCCACGCAGCTCCAAGAAGAAGTCCCGAGGATGGTCGCCACGCTACTGCCACCTCCCCGGTGCTCAACGCCGAGACAGGAGGACCAGGCGCTCTTTCAAAACCACCCAGCTATAGATGGAGGACTGTGAAAGGACACTGTGAGGAATGTGGAGAAATCCGAGGCATTAGGAGAAGTGGAGTACCGCTGGGCTTTGGATGGAGGGATGCGAACCTTTTGGGAAATATTGGCACTGCCATTGCAAACCGTTCTCAGAAAAAAGACAGCATTGTACATCTTACTGTGACAGAGGTGACAATGCTGGACCCTTTTCTCTGAGTGTGGAAAAGTGGCAAATAAAGGAGCTCCGTGACTTGCTGAAAACACCACAGGGTCTGTGGGGTGTCGACGCTTTATTTTCTCTCCAGCGCTTTAAATGAGCGGTGGGGAAACTTTTTTTTTTTCTATCAAGGGACATTTAAATTTTTGTAAAATCCTTTGAGGCCTGTACTTTATTTTGAAACACTTATATCACCTCTAATGTGACGGCTGGAACTGCTTCTCTTTGGGAAGGCGTCTGATGTCCGATGGTAGTGATGATGATGCTACCTGCAGCTTGTTTAATCCAAAAATCCATGTTTCGTCTAATGTTTCATCGCAAGTCGTGGAGATAAACTGGAAGTTTCTTGCCGTGTCCTTCGGTGATTCTGAATTTTTTGAGACTAATCGACTGAGGGTTCAGCTTCTTGGCTGCGGTCGCTCAGCAACAAACTTTCCTGCATAACATCGTCTCTGTCAGAATACAGTCGTGTGAGAGCTGCTTGTTGGGCTCACACACAATCTGCCAAAGACCATTAACCCTATCTCAGTGCATTCGTCCTTTCTAGAATGTGTTTTTTTGTTCATGAACTGCCTCGCATAGTGGATCAAACTATTTTGCATAAGGCCGGATGTCCCCCACCTCTGCTCTGAGTGGAGAAACAAGTACTTTCATGAAGATAAAACAAAATCACAGTGAAAACTCAAGTTCTTAGACTGGACGAAGGACAAAAGACATTTAACGTAGCACTTAAAAACAGCCTCATGTTTGCCTATCACTGCCAAGTGAATGTAACTACTACTGTTTGTATTATACGTATATACAGAGTTGAAGACTGATATAAATTCAACCATAGGTGATTGTGTTGCACCGAAAGCTTCACCCAAAGAGTCGTTGTTTGGAAAGTTCTACTAATGAAGTTCTACCACCATTATAGTTTAACTTTAACACCATGCACCCTAAAGTAGACTCTGGTATATATATCCAGCACATATGAATGTACAGAATGTTTTCATTAACTGGTTCCTTGAATAAAGCTCTTGTGTGGTGACTGGACTCATCGCCACAAGTAGTTCGGTTTCATTTGCATTTCATGAGCTACATTTTCTATGATTGTTTTTACACCGATGACAGTGACTCTGGCAAGGACTCGTGTTTTGTTGTCGGCCTGCGAGCTTGGTGGAAAACCACACGCTGGGCAACTGGAGGTCAAAGTGTATTTGGAGAGTTCGGGAACCGTCCCCGGCTGCACTGAGCTGATCTGTCACAGAGTTTCCTCCATGAACCGACCGCAGTCTTCGAGCTGTCTGTCAAACTCAGTCTCAGTAGTTCAGCTTCCTGATGACTTCAACACGCAGACAAAAGCAAACACACAAATTAAGAATACGGAAACAAAAGCCCCATAAAGTTTTATTACTTCTCCCTTCATGACTGAAATCCGGCTGGAGGCGGAATCAAATGCAGTTGAATACAAAGAAAGATAAATCCTGGAGGTTCTTATGTTCAGTTTTCAACTACGTTCGATAGGTGTCGTCTTTATGCTCAGTTTGAAAGATGTAGTTTGTGGTTTCTCCTTGAGTCCAGATAAATGTGTTTGTTGATTGATATATGAGACTAATATAAAATGTCTGCCTGTCCCACTCTGATGAACGTCTTGAGGATATTGCTTTTAAAACACCCTTTTGGCCAGAATCCAAAACGTCATATAATAATTGTAAAAAAAGATAAACTATTCTGTAATTAAACATCACGAATGAGGAAAAGACATCATGTGCGGATAAATGTGATAGTTTGATGAACTGAGATTTTTTAAAGTCAGTCTATTTGCATCGTGAATTTTCAAGATTAACACAAATTATGAGTTTAAACTCACAAAAACAAACAATAACTTATGTTGTACTTAAATAAAACTTTGCAGAAAGAACAAATCCAACCCTAGCTAGCTTGAGTTAGTGAAAGCAAAGTTTGTTATAACCTCTATAGTTGATTCATGACAGAGGAATTGAGAATCTGAGAATCTGAAAATGTAAAACTTGGATCATTCCTCCCAAAGTTTCTTTTGTGTTGCTTTTTTACTTCCTCTGAACTTAAAGCTCATTTCCTGCTCAAGCACAGTTTGTGACGTTGGCCCCTCAGCATTTTCTTAATCCTGCCCACTGATGCCAAGTCCACACCACGCACAGCAGAGGACACACAAAGCTCATACACAGACATCTGCTGAGTAAATGTGAAATGTTATAGTTGCTGGTGATACCTCGGGCCGCCATGAATCTTTCCTGCAGGTGGGAGATGCTCCTTATTATCAGTTTGTGGATTCAAGTGAACTTAGTGCCTGGAACGTATTGTACGGATGCAGCTGCCAGTCTTCTGTCGATGGAAGGTAAGGTTTGTTTTGACCAGTTCATTTATTTACCACATTTCAAAGCGTTAAAGACAGCGGGGCGATGCTTTCAATTAATATTAACACAGAACATATTCAGACAATTAAGGATGTGGAAGCAATACAATTCAATTCAATACAATATTTTTTATATAAGTTTGTCTGAATCTTTGGTGCATGATTAAAGAAAGGTTCTTCATTTTGTTTTTTGCACATATTGTGATGAGAAGTTGATCCGGTGAGCTTGAAATCTGATGTGTCTCGTTTCTGGAGCAGATATTTTGCTCTTGAAGGACGAGCAGGATCCTAAATGTTTCACCCGGACAGGAAAGGATTTCATCTGCTTCTTTGAGACCGCAGACAACAGGACGTATGATTTACTCTACAAGGTGAACAGGTATGTTACACATCTTGAAGTATTTGTGTTTTGTAGAAGTAGCTGTAACTGTACAATTTGAGAAAAGTACTTCATGCACTATTCTACACTTTTGGCATTATGTGTTTTTGTGTGAACGTGTCGCTTCTTCTGATCAAAAGCGTGTGGACAGAGATCAGGTGTGTCCAGAAACCAGAAAACGACACTGTCCTCCACATCTGCTCATTTCCGTCTGCAGATGTTTTATTGTTTGTGGAAACACACATTGTCGTGGAGCACAACAGCAGCTCGAGCCTCTTCAACAGGACCGTCTCTGTGGAGGACCACTGTGAGACATTTTCACTTTTTCAATACAGATATTCTTACTGCTATTTATTTATTTAGGGTCATTTGTACATTAATATGAGTGTAAATCCTCGAATCCCTGATCTTAACTTTATCCTTCAATCTAGTCACCATTCATTTTTTGTCTCTAGTTCTCCTGGATCCTCCGCTGAACGTGTCTTTACACCATATTGAAGAAGCAGGGCAGCTGCTGGTAACGTGGAGATCAGAGGTCCCGACGTACTGTTCACGTGTGATGCACAGGATTCGATACTCCATCAACGGAGAGAAGACAGAAAAGGTGAAGACACTTCTCCAATGCAGCCACAAGATTATCTGTCTAATGGTCGTAAATCTTTTCTCATGTGTGCCAAGAGCAAATAAGCTGTTTGAAGGTTAAAGGAAAGTTTAAAGCTTGACAATTGTTTTCACACTTGATTTTAATTAACGTGATCAGTTATGTTTGTCACTGCCTAAACAGTTTTATCATTTATTTATCAGTTTTTAGGTGTTAGGTCATGAGATCGATTAGTAATTAATCAAACACATCATTGATTTGTTAATTTCTTCTCAGACAAACATGTTTATTGCTCTTAACTCGGTGTAACTATATTTTTTTGCGGCGTCTGTTCTGAGTTATGTGAATGAACTTCAAATCGATGGTGTTTGTGATGATTCCAGGTGAAGCAGGATGAACACAACAAATTCATACTGGACTATCTGGTACCAGGGGAACAGACGGAGGTCCAGGTCTCTATTAAATGTGCCTCTGATATCAGAGGGGGACACTGGAGCTGCTGGTCACAACCTGTGAGAGGCATCGTTCCCCAAAGAGCTGGTGTGTTTCAACAAGAAAAGAGTGGATGACAGCACGAGAATGATGTTTATCCATAGAACAATATCTTATCCAATTATTTCAAGCGTGCTTTACCTCAGTGGGAAAACCTCTTTACCTTTCAGATGATGTTTCACTGATGTGTTTCACCTCCGACTTACGAAACGTCACCTGTCAGTGGGACAGCAGCAGATACGGTTTAGAAAACAACCTCAAACTTTTCTACAGGATCGGAAACAGGTAGAAACTAACATTCACACTTTCATCAATGTTTACTTGAACCTCAAATAATTTCACTATATAACCTGTTTTATAGGAAGTTCCGTCCTTCAGAGAGTAGACATGCGGTATTAATGTGATCTTCCTGTCAAAAGTCTCATTTACATTTAACAAGAAGTGGGGAAAAAATGACATGACCACAATATGTTTGGTTCTTTTAAGTCCGTGTTCACTTGGCTGTGATTCAAAATACAATTACGACCCTTTCAGCAAAGGATGGAGCGAGTGTCCGACTGATGAGTTCACTGAGCTGTGTCGTTTCCATGGAGACGACACCAGAAACATCCGGATCAGAATCAGCAGCGCCGCAGCTCCACTCGGACGAACCTTCTACAGTCAGGACATCGCTATGAACAACACCGGTGAGTGAGTTTTAATTCCTTCATCTGTTTTTAACGAATCAGTGTTTGTCGCGCTCACATGTATCAGAGTCAAAGATACTTTCTCTCGGCTCTTTTCCATCAGGCCTCAGAAAAACTGTGGTGTCAGGTTTTTTTTATTATTATTGAAATGTAGCTTTGGGTTTGTTCTTTGCTTTTCAGTGAAAACATCTGCACCAGGTCATCTGGGAGGAGCAGTGGAAAAAAAGAAACTGTGTTTGAAATGGAAAGCTCCTCTTCTCCGCCTGTCAGCTCACCTGCAGTATGAAGTGGCCTACCGGACCAGACCGGGTGGACCGTGGACGGTGAGACGTTATCTTCAGTGGCTGCACATCATTGTTGAGATGAAAAGGGGTTTTAGTTGCTGATGTGTACAATCGGATGTCATTGTAACATGTTAAGAAATGTTCTGGTGGCATAAGTTTTGTTTTTCAGTGGTGATGGAAGGGGTTTGCATGTGTTTTCTTAATCTGAAGTGCATTGAGCTCTCTCAGCCACCGTAACCAGGACTGCTGCCAAAATGTCGTTCCCTATAAAACCTCTAGATGGCGCCAGAGTAATAATTATTGTTTTCTATTTTACATACACTGGAAGCAAAAAAGATGATTTTCTGCAAGAAAATTTAATTTGTGAAAACATTGAGATGTGTAAGAAAGATCTGAAAAGAAAACAATCCCAATGTTTGTTTGTGAGCATGACTACAGTTCCGGGGACTGACTGATGATTTTGACCGAATGTAAAGAAATAAATCATCTCTAAGTTTTATTGTTGTTAATACTTTGATTAAATATACCTTTTGGTCCACAGAGAGTTTCCGTAGAGGGACCAGAGCCTGGAACGTGCCTGGATGTTTCAGCAGGGACTCGGTACCATGTGAAGGTCAGAGCTAAACCAGATGGATCTGTGTACTCAGGCCTGTGGAGTGACTGGTCACATGAGCTCACTTTTCAAACCCCCATTGACGCAGGTAAACTCCCACTGATGCTGATGCTTCAGTGCGAAACACATAACTTTTATTATCCCTGCTCCTTTTTTATTTGATATAATCTCTTCTTTTTGTTTTAAATGTAATTTTAACATGTTCTTATGTTACTTAAAATCTGTTTTCTTATATGAATTACAAATTAACATATTGTTATTTTCATCTAAATTGTATGTTAAGCACTTTGAGCTGCTTGTTTGTATAAAAAGGCACCATACAAATTAAGTTTTTTATTATTTTTATTAAAACCACCAAAGTTTTAACCAATTTTTATTTTATAAGAACTTAAATCACGTAATAACACTTGTACTTGCGTGTACAACGCTTTGTTGTGCCTTGATACATTAAAATAATAATGTAAATAAACCTTAATGCAGTAAAAAAAAATCTCTTCAGGTTTGTGGCTGTGGCTGTGGCTGTGTATCCCCGTCGTGATGCTGATAACTGTGATCTCTATTATTTCTACATATCTCAGGTATGATCTTATTCCAGCTCATCATCAGCTCTTTTATACCCATTACTTTTTAAGATTAGATCTCAAGTTGCACTGTACAATTTTGTAGTTTTATGATTTCATATCCCACAAAGTAAAAATGACGTAAAATCACTATTACTATTGCTTTGTTTAAACACACTTTTCATATCTGTCATTCTGTATTTTCACAGTAAGCTGAAGGAGTATTTTTGGCCTCCGCTGCCAAACCTGGACAAAGTCTTACTCAACTTTTTGACAGGGATCGACAAGCAGAGTTGGGTAAATACCAAGAGGCAAACCTTTACTCTTTCTAGTGTAAAAACAGAACTTAGCCAATAATTGAGTCAAAGGATAAAATGTAGATACAGACTCAATTTGCAGAAATATAGATTCCGATAACAAAGTACAAAGATTATAAATTAAACCAAATTAAAGGTCAGCCTCATACTCCAGTTCCTGCTGCATTATTCGTGCTCCGCTCCTTCCACAGGATCCTCCTCTTACATCAAAGCAGTGGTCTGAAGAAACCACTGAATCTGTGCTGGAGATCATATCTGAGGACGTGAAGAAACCATCAGAAGAATCCAACCAGCTGCTGCAACCAGAGGAAGCTCCCTCCAGCGGAGGGCAGGTAGACGGAAACACTGGAGCTGAAGTGCTTCCAGACTATGTGACTCTGAACAAAGAGCGTGTCATTCTTTGTCCAAAGAAAAACATGTACACGTGTGAGACGGTTGGAGAGAAACAAGGCCCGGGGCCGGAGGTTGAGCTTCTCCAAACGAGTGGATGTTCCAGCACTAGCGACTCGCTCCATGTCCCACAATGCTTAGCTAATGACTTCCTCAACCTTTCTTACAAGCCTCTGGCTGAGGCTGCAGACAGATTTGACTGCAGGGTCTCTCCTGCAAGGGAACCAGGTAACATCTACACTAACTTACCCTGCAGCTGAATGTGCAGTAAAACAAGCGTGCTTTGTTTTCACTGGGGCAGATCTGAGGTATATTTTACACTTTCAGGAGAACTCACTGTTTACTGCATCAGTGTAACTTAAAAACAAAAGTGCTCAGGTGGACAAAACACATTTGTAAACAAGAATATCACATTTTTATAAGACTTCAACCTTTTGGTTAAAATGCTGCTCCAGATATTGATACACAAACAGTGATATATTGGACTTTTGTTTGTAATTGTATATAAGATTTCCTGCACATTGTGACTGGCGATATATAAAATCGTCACGAACGGAAACTCACTTTGAAAGTAATAATTTAAAGGCACCTCTCTAATATGTTTAGAGTAACCTGGATAATGGTTTCATATCTTTACTTTATATTCAATGTATCTTCAATGTATTTTTTTTTTTATTGCACTTAAAACATTTAAAGAGACATCACTACTACGTCATCTCCTCCCAAACAACTTTGTTCCTTTTCATTATTTCTTACATTAAAACTCAAGGGTTTGTATTTTGTTGCAATAAATATCGAATGGCTAATTTTCTTTAAGTTGCATTTTAATACATTTGAAACCATCTGAGTCGCACTGCGATGGAGCAGGATATGATATTTAGACACTAGGTGGCAGCAGATATCAACAGAATGAGATGAGACGTTTCTATTTTGTTATTGTTCTTCACTGAAGATGAGAGAATAGTTTGATTCTGACCCAGGTTCAACACAAACCTCATGATGAACCAACTTCCACCCTGAGAGTTAAACCTGTAAATACACGGTCATGAATTACAATGACATTAATAACCATGAAATTAATGTTAAACGTCCACATCTGGGGATATTAAAGAAAGATGGCAAAACACGGGTGAGTGGTAGATGTTAATTTATTACACGTAGTAGATGAAAGGCTCAATTTAACATGACACAAACAATCATTACTCACAACTTGAATGAGAACCAAGAGACCTGAGTCGGAACATGGCCGATCACACCGTCATGACAACAGGGATGAGTGGGGGGATAAATACGAGCCCTCAGCAAAGTCAGGAGCAGTAACTCACATACAGCAACGCTAGCCAAGAGCCAAACTAACGTACAGGATGTTATTTGACTTTAGGATCGGAGGAGTGAGAGGTGATGGCAGTTTTAGATTTTTAGATTTTACTCCACTAAAAAAAAGAAAAGCTGCCATGTGGTAATCAGGCAGTGTGACTGCTCCCGTCTGGCTCTGCAGCTATGTTATCGCCCTGCAACCAGTCAGCAGCCTTCTGTACAAATATACAAGAGTCGCACTTTAACGCCAGCCCATCACGTCCGCACTGTTGGGGCCAGACTGTGTGATATCATGTCCACGAATCAGGCCAGAATCGTATATGAGGCAATAACTGTGGAGGAGAAATGTTGAGAGTGAGACAATCAAGAGAAAGAGAGAAAGTTTAAGAGAGTCAGTGTTTACTGGCGTCTGAGCCTCTCTCCTCCCTGCAGGAATTCTTTCCATGTTTCATCACTGCCCACTTGCCCATACGCAAATGTCGACGGAGCGAGGTTGAATCACCTCCTGATGTCATTTCCTCAACTTTCACATACAATCACAATGAGAAACAACACAGTTTCAGATGTGACGGGCCTCACGCTACAGCACGGAGTGTATTTACAGTATACGTGCGCTATGCCGTCATATCCGCAGGCCTCAAACACGGATTTCGGCTACAGCAGAGCTAAGGCCACAGAAACAGAGCTCATCAGTCAAACTGTTGCTGGCAGCTTCCATCGTGCACACACATGGAAACGCACCAAACAGTCAGTCCGCTCTGCGTGCTGAGTGCCAACTCTCACTGCTGTCGCATTTTGTGATATTAGATTTAGTGGATCATGTTTTGGAGTCAAATCTTCCAGACGGAGGGAAAATGGAAGCAAAATCAACAAAACCAACAATGTGAGATAACGACAGTGTTTTCAGAGTCTTTCCACAGGAGTGAACTCATGGATTGTTTTCACATTGAAGGAGCAGAGGTGTTTCGTTGGACTAAGTGAAAGCTTAGGTCGTCTTGTAATGAGGAAAACACACAGAGGCAGCTGTTTCCTGTCCTCTGCAAGGTTGGCACAGATGAGCAAGTTTGCATCCCCACAAATAAGAGACGCTCGGCAGCAGGGATGCAAATTCGCTGCAACTAAACGGGCCCAGATGGTTCTTGTAGAATTGTAGAATAAGGTTTGCTCCTCCAGCTGGTGGCAGGGATCAATTAACTGTCTTCAGTTCTTTACAATCAGTGGCAAATGACGACAGCCATAAAAACTAAGAGCACGTCAGGTCTCCGCAGCAGTTTACTATCACAGAATCATAACTAATCACAAAGAAATCACTGATCAACACAAATCCAGTCGCATTTTCAAGAACTTCCATCACGAGGACGAGAATTCTGAACATCCTGAAAAGTGGCTCCACATTTTTTAAATACTTAATAGCACATTTGAAATAAAGTACAGTGGTGAAACCATACTACAAATTAAACCACCATCCATTTTATATAACCAGTCACACGTAAGAATTCCATCACAGTTAAAATGGTAAACAGAATAAAGAGTTATATTACATTGGTTTCCACATTTTGAGGAGTTGGTTCCCACTTCTTACTGCCCACAACTGTGAAGAAAGGCAGGTTCGGTACCACATCGTGTTTCCTGCTATGCTTAATAAACGTGCACAGTCACGTGCATCCCTGCTCTATCTTCACCACGTCCGACACAATTTGATAAACTCTATCGTCAGGGGTGCGACTGGGTACCATTAAGATTTTTATTTTAATTACTTATATTTTTTATATTTTATATTTCATGTTTAATGCTGTTTGCACCGGGGATAAGAGGGAAACACAATTTCAATTCTCTGTATGTCCTGCACATATGGCATTATTGATAATAAAGTTGACTTGACTTGACTTTATAGCCTCTGGAACTTTCATTGAGCTCAATCTAGTAAAACATAGTCTTGATGTAAAAGCCTTTATTTTTCATTTCTCCATGACTCTTCCTGGAATCATTTGTCAGTGTCGTTGTCTTTTAGTTATTTATCTGAATCTGGTGAGATTAATCTGTTTGTTTTATTTCGCACTCATCCATCTGGTTTTCTTGGTCCATTCAGGACTTGCTGGGAGAGATTCTAGTTAATTAGCATCTTATTTGAACAGTCGACTAAAGAACTAAGTGCTCTAAACAGATAGTAAGTAAAATGGACCTAACGTGTGTAGGAAATGTTAGGTAATGTTAGAATATATTCAAGTAAATAGTAAAATATCTAAATGTAGCTATTTGTAATTTGTACCAACGGAACAATTCAAACCTTTTAAGACTTTTAACGTTGTGTAATTTTTACATGTTCTTTGTCCCTCAGCATGAACAAACATGCTCATCCCTTACTCTAAGCACAAAGACAGCTGAACCTCGGGGTTCCTTGGTGATGGGACTCTGACTCTGCTTGGTTACCATCCACTGAAAGAGACCCCCCCCCCCCCCCCGACCCTGAGCAGGCTCAGTTGTTGCCTTTCTTGTTGATGAGCAGAGAGCAGCACGTGAGGGCTCCGTCCACTTTGACCTTCTCCATGTTGGACACTGGGATGAGTGTGTAGTCCTTCAGCTTCTCAAACACCTGCATGGACAAGTGGAGAATAAAAACATGCTGACTTTTTAGATTCGCAGTCATCCAGGTCGAAGTGACTCTAGTACACGGAGGCAGAGAAAGTTTTTGAGATGGAAGCTGAAACGTCCTAAAGAGCCTCCGTGCAGTTCTGTCTTTTAGGTTGTTAGCTCCTCCAAGAAGTTTATGTTTTCGCCCTGTCTTTCTGTTTGTCAGTTGAATTACGCAAAAACTACAGAGCAGATTTCCAAATGATGTCAGCTAAAATACAAAAGAACTCAGGCAGATATTATCAGAAAATCACATAAAAACTGGATGTTTTCAGCAGCTGTTCCTGTTCTGTCTCCTGACTCTGCCCTTAGGAAACAGATGTATGAGCCAGTGTTACAGGTATTGACCAACCGGCAGCTCTGTAGACAGTAGAGAAGCTGGAAGGCAGAACGATATTTCTTCATTTGTCCACTCGTGATATAAAAGCCCTGCAGAGCGTCAATGTGAAATAGGAGAAACAGCATTCAGGAAGGTTTTTCTGCTCTCAGCTAAATATACATATAAAAAAGATGGGAGTGAGAACTGTTACGACATGCTCAAAAGACCCTTGTAAAGTAGTGTGTCACCCTGTGGACATTTTCCAGGAGGAAACCAATGTTTTCCTACCAGACGTCCAAACCAGGATATTTTTCTCTTTAAACTCTCATTTCGACCCTGCTGAGCGAGGCCCTGCGGCTCAGCCAGAGGGATCAACTAAACAAATTCTTATCTCATGATGCAATATGGCTGATGAAGGCTCTGGTGATCCAGATGACATGTTAAAAGACACCGCAACCATGTGCCTTATAACTCTGGATTCTTTTCTAACCAGGGCACATTGTGTAATGGGCAGGAGTTCAGGTCAGAGCCCTGCTTAAATGATTTGAACAAATGGCACGGCACCATCATCCTCTCATGTTGCACTATTAAACCACTTCAAATCATGATGTTAATTCAGATTTAATAGAGTTTTGATATTTTATACAGTTGTTTGCATGATTGCTTTTTGTTTTAATTGGCAGCCTCATCTCTGGTTCTTATCTACTGATGATGTTAGAAATAAAAACCGAGAGCCTCAGAGTCTGAGCTCAAACCAGTGTCAACATATCGACATGCTCACAATCACAGTGTGGATCCAGTTCTGTTTTTATTCAACAGTTTTTTTTTGTTGAAATCCCAGAAAATAATTAATGGATTGGTCATATTCAGGGAACTGATATCAAGTGTGTGAATTCAAATACCAAAATCTGTGATTTAAATGTGGTTTCATAAGGAGACTGTGGGGTGTTGGTGTGTGTCTATAAATTCTAGTTGGTTTATCTGTGAGCACTATTTCATTAAAATGTCCAAACCTATTTAACAAACCTGGCTCTTCTCAGGGCCTGAGCCTGTTAAATTATGCTGCGGCTCTGATTTCAGGGGTGGATCCACGTTTTATGACAAATAAATAATTTAGCTAATCGGACCACATCCTTTCTCCTTGTAAAATACTACGGATAAAACCGAACGGTTCTGCCGTTGTAGTTTTAACTTATTTCCATGTTAACAACTTCGGTCAGTTCAGTCTGTCCATGTGTTGAGTTACAACATGTCAACTTCAGGTAACATCAGCGTCCAAACACCTTCTGTTTAGGTTCCATGTTCAGAGGGTCAACTCAGGGGAGGTTGTACCTTTGCATAACTCCCCGTAAAACAACATGAGTAAATCCCCTGCCGTTTATAGCACCTCCGCCTCCAAAGTGTCTCTTTGTTTAATCATTTCCAGCAGAGTTCTCATTACTGCGGTCGAGATTTATACGTCGAGTCAGAGGAGTGTGGGGGGGGGTCCCACACAGTAAAGGCTGCTATATTTCACTGGGCCTTTTGTCTGCTTGTTTTCTATATCTCCAAACCAGAAACCTTCCAGAGCGGCTGCCGCTGCCAACCATTAAAGGTGCACCCCCCCCACCCCCTCCGACCCTCTCTCATGACCCCCCCGCCTTTGTCAAAGTGGAACTCTTATGTAACTTCACGAGCCGCCTAAAAATAGACCGGCGATTAGGGCAGACGATGTTTAGAGTTGGAAAGCTGCACAAAGTCTTGCAGATTGTTTCTGTGATTGTGCCAAATGCCAAGAAATATCTACGTCTCATCGGAGGAAGAAGCAGCGAGTTCCCTTGGGAAAAATGTACCGAGACTCGCTGCACGACAAAACCTATCCCTGCTATTTTAGAACGTATGCTATGTCTCGTGCTATTAATTCTTTTCCACTTTCTTAAAGCTACAATTTCTTAAACACAGGGTTGGAACCGAAACTGCGTTCAAGGCCAATTTCTGGTGGGTTTGAACATTATAAAGGAAACTAGGTCACAGAACAAACACGCAGTTCTTGCACGTTGCTCCAAATTTAAGAGGTGTCATCAATCAGGAAGCATGAGATACACAAATATATTAATCAAGCTCATGTTAAATTCCTTCAGTTAATCTTCCTGGAAAAAAATGGAGCCCCCTCTGTGAATGTTTGTCCAAAGACGCATAATTTAGTGAATTCTTCCTTCTAAAAATAGCAGGCGGAGGTTGGGGCTTTAACCACAGAGTACATTTTGAGGTCTGGGTACTGTCTGCAGATTGCAGGGTGTTGGGTTTGATCCTGTGGGAATCTTTATGACTTGTTGTGATGCGAAATGATCCCCAAGCATCTGAATAACACGGCTACTGCTCAGCCTTTCCAAAACCCCAGTGAGACAATAACATATCATTCAAGTTGAGATGCTGTTGAGTGAAAGGCACATCCCTCCATGTCTGAGAGAAACACATGACGGTTAACGGCAAGTGTTCGTGCAGTGATGGTGTTGTTGTGAGGTGAGTTCAGCCAGGTGCACTGAACCAGCATAAAAGACTTCATGCGGGTGGTTTTTAAGAGAGCACGCAGGGAAACAAGTCGATGTTTGGCCCATTGCAGATATACGGACTTTGATTATAGCAGTTTTAAGAGTTATTTCAATCATCAACTTTGATAATTGTTTTTCCTGACAGTTCAGGGTGTCTGAAGCTTGGTCTGCAGCCGGAGCCGTGTCCGCATCAAAGTGCAGGTTGCTTTGTTTAAAAAGCCACAGCCTTGGCGGTGGTTAACCTGCAGCGGTCTGCGTAAAACAACCACGTAGCTGTTGTAGAGTTTCAGCCAGTTGTTTTTCTTTGAGGTCTGGACAGGATGAAGAGCAACAAAGAGTCGTGCTCCTTAAATCCAAAGCCACTAAACTCAGACTGCACTTCTTCCTCCCAAAGGTGAGACCTCAGGATTGTAAATGATCATGTGACCGTGTGCGTGTGAGATAAAATCCCCATCTGAGGCTATGACATGAGCTGGACGTTACCTTCGTGCTCTCTGGAAACTCCTCCGCTGTGCAGTGCAGCAGCACATGTCCCTTATCGGGCAGGTTCATGTAGATGCAGTTGGCAGCGAGGTCATCAGGCACTGTCAGTTTGTCGTAGCGATGGTCACTCATCTGCTGCATGATCTGCACATGAAGATGGAAAGTAGACAATGAGGTAAAGAAACTGAGCCAGCGAGAGTCCGGAGGGGTTTCACAGAGACAGACAAAAAAACAGTTATTCAGACACTTAGAGGCAGAAGTGAAGCCACAGAACCAAAGGCAGCACCACATCTTTCTGTCGGCCAAACCGCTCTCGGGGCCTGGGGGGCCTTAATGGAGAACACAGGAGCAGACAGACATTCTTTCTCAGCAGATGTCATGATATTTATGTAATCTAAAGGGGTGGAAGGTGGGACGGGAGGTGGGGAGAGAGTCTGAGAAGGCGCCCGTGTTGCCAAGTGGAAGTTGGGGGGGTCAGGATGTTATGACCAGAGGAGAGGCAGGTGCCTCTTAATGTTTATGAGCTGAACATCTGCGGACGGATACCTCAGAGACGAGGAGGGGAGGGGAGGATGAGAGCGACAAAAAAAAAAAAAGTCCAAACATTCAGAAAAGATATTTTGAGGAGTGAGATTTTCACCAGATATGAATCTTCAGTCTTTTCTTGTGCTCTTCTTTCTTTGATCATGTGCAGCACAGGTCGCTAATGATTAGCACACAAAAAGTTGAAATCATGAAAAACCTCAGTTCTTGTTTAGATGTTGTTTTAGTTGTTTAGATGAGATCGGATTTTTCTTGCACATGCAGCAAATGTCAATTTTAGCATCACGCTGCAACCAAACTGTGACGTCAGCTTGATGCACATGTACAGACGTCTCAAAGAAGCAGTGAGCAAACGTGATGATGCACACGTGGGAGGACAATTTGTGGTTTGTGGCTGAAGATGTTTTCATTTCACTTCCCATTGAACACGTTTGCTGGAAAAGGGAAGACCAGGGCGTTTACTGGGATGGAAAAGGCACAAATATGGGATTATGTTGCATAGTGTGATTCTCATGAATTCAATATACTCACACGCCTTGTACCTTGTAATAAAAAGAGGTATTTGTACATCGCAAATTACTGTTTATTAGCAAATGATTCAACCCAACAGCAAATGTGCTGTTCTAAGTACTTGCTTTTTCTATTAAAATCTATTCAGCAACATAGGAAGTGACACGTTTTTATGTTTCTGGCAGCGGCAGCAGCACTTGGTTGGAATAAATATCAGAACAATTGTGTGGTTAGTGTGAGCAGTAAATCCCATCATTAAATAAAAAAACCCAAAGGAAAAATCTGTCACAGGACTGGACTCATTGTTAAACCGAGGAGTGACGTCTGGGAAGTGCAGAGCGAAAGAAACACAGTGATGGAACTTCAGCAACAACGACAATGTTAAAAACAAAGACTACAAAAGGAAAATAGTAATGCTCCATTGTTAGTCACGGATATTTTCATATATAAAAGCAATAAATACATTTTGATTTATAAATGATAACGCAACATTTTTATAACTGAGTGTAGAGATGAAGAGTGGAATAATAGTAAAGTTTGTTTATATAGCACATTTTAAAAAGAGTTCACAAAGTGCTTTGACAGCAAAAGCAAGAAAAGTAAATATAAGAGAAATAACAATCAGCAGGATGTGACAAGGAGGCCAGACAACCACGTTTAGGTGTTAGGAAACAAGGTGGTGTTCAAATTAAAGGAATAAATATAGAGCTGTGTCACAAAAAAACTTGAACACATAAAAGACGTAATATGACAATAACAATAAATGAACAAGTAAAATAAAAGGTGAAAAGAAAACGATAGAAACACAACATCACATGAAAGCAAGTCTATAAAAATGTGTGTGTTTGTGTGTGTGTGTGAGTGTGTGTGACCAGGCCAGACACATTCCCAGGTCACTTTTTGATGCGTTACGTAACTGCAGCGGCCAGCCCTAAATAAAAACACTGTCCATGTGCGTGACGGCCAACACAGTCTCTCTCACACGAGGGGGGGGATTAGTGGTAGAGGCGAAAAAGCAAATGCTGACTCCACCAAAGATCACAGTTGTTCCTGCTCTTCTCCCAGACTCTGAAACATCCAGCTTTCTTAGTTAAAAAAAGAAAAAACTATTCAGCATGTGAGGAAAAATATCCTTCAGGAAGATTTCCATTGTGATCCATGTGCATTTCTGATGAAACAAAACTAAAAGATGAACTAGAATGGGACCAAGTAGAGCACAGAGGCCCAGTCGCCTTAAATTCAATTAAAAGGTGAGTTGTGTTTTATCAAGATCCATGAATTATTCACTCAGCAACGCTTCAACAAACCAACCAACCAAAAAATAAGCTTGTGGGCAAACAGTCAGTGGTGAAACCATTACCTCATTGACCAAGGTGATACATTGACAGATGGTTTTCTGAACAACTGATTAACATCAAGCCAAATTACTTTATGTCCATTTAAAAAATGAAAGATGGATTAATTTATTCTAACCTTAGGTCACAAGAACTAAAAACTCAAGGTTCGATTATCTCCGTCACTGCATTTTTCTTTCACTAGCATCATTGTGTCTGCCTGTGATTTGTGCCGATGAATTAAAGGAGAGCTCCTGCCTCTCCATCGTCATCCTGGCCCATGACCAAGTGTAAAGCTACAGCAAATTAGCAGCAACACGCTCCTGGACAGTGGCTGAGGTCCAGTTAATACACAGAGTGGTAACTGGGCAACAAAATATGCTTGGTCAGAGCTTCTTACACTTAATATTAACGGGAAATAATAAAATCCAGCCTGGGCAGTGACAGTCAACCATTTAACAAAAACACTGACAGTTTACTGGACGTCATACGTAGAACCTAGATTTTGGCTCTCGCTAAGAATATTTATAATGCTCATTGTAGAAATACTTCCCAGGATGCCTTTAAAAGATTTTATAATACTCCTTGTTTTTACTGCTGAACAACAGCGAGACACATCCTTCTCAAACCTGTTTCCATAACTGGTGGGGAAATGGGAGTGAAATTGCTTCCTGTTGATGTATCGTAAATGTGTGTTAAAGTTCCTTGACACACATTTGCTCTGCAAATATTATTGGTCTATATGAACTGTTGATGCAACCAGACGTCTCCAATGGAAACTGGCCTGGAGGGAAGGAAGAGGAGGGGAGGACACAGGACACGTCCGATAATACTGAGAACATAATTCAGGGACACAGGTTCAGAGACACTGTTCTATGATATTTGACTTGATACCATTAGTAGGACAGTCGTGTCCTTTTTTGTCCCGCTCAGTGAAGGTCTCACATGTGAGAATAATGACAATCTCACAATCTTTAGCTATAGTTTGTGTTTAGGGTGAATAAACAAATGTTAGCATGCTAAATATCAGTATGTTAGAATTGTCATTAGGGACATGTTAGCGTACTACAGTTAGCATTTCAAATGATGAAAATACACAACGTGTGGTGGTGAAATAGCTCCAGAAATCTTTACTTGACTAAAACTTTTAAGCATTTTCAATATGTTTGTGTATTTTGACAACTGTCACATGCATGATATCACTTTCTCTTAGTATAAAATGATTAATCGTGTTGATAATTTTGAATATGAAATGCTAAAACAGTAAACTATGGTAACCGATTGGAGTGAATCGCCGTCTCAGGAACAAACAAGGTTGACATTTAGAGACGTAAATATTTAACCTAAATCGTGGAATCAGCTGCCGCCCTCCAACATGGCAGCTCAAGACCTTAATGACCAACTGCCGTCTCATTGTGTGCAAGAAAAACCTGATGCTCAAAAGTCACACGTGGCACTTTTCCAAATGTTAAAACTTCAATCAGTCGTTGGTCCTTAAATAATTATATGACCTTCACCGTGTCGAATTCTCAACATGTCAAAAGAGTGTGAAAACATCCTCGAGGTGAAGATCACATTGTGTCCGGCAGAGAGAAATGACCTCATGACTCACGCAGGGCTGAGTCAAAGGGGCGACAGGCACGCGAAGGCTGCCGGTCATCGCTCTGTAATGCAGCCAGGGAATAGTGTGAGAGAGCAGGGAGTGGGCACTGCCTCCCCTGACACGGGCCATATTTCAGGATGATGACTTTATGAGAGATGCTTGGCACTGACAGCAGATGAGTGACGACATCCATTAGGTCAGCGTGTATTCTCGTCCTGGGGGGAGCTAAACATAGACAGCAGACTGCACCTGGTTCACAAATAAGTAAACACAGATAAAACTTACAAATAGATAAAACTAACAGGCTTAATGAGAGCACAACAAAATTTACTTCCCGAAAGATAAACTTAATTAATCTGGCTCCAACTTTAATTTGTACGTGTCATTGTCCAAGGGTAAACAGACATTGCCACAAGAGCTACATGCGCATCCAAACACGCAGTGGCACAGTGGATGCATTAAAACAGCACTCATACGTTTTCACTCCTCCCAAAACAGAGAACATTACCTAAATTACAAATCCAAGGTTGTTAAAAGTCCTTTAAAACGGGAGCTAAATGCTGCAGGAGAGTGGTGACGTAAGACGCAATTAGAAACGGGCAGTCCGTCATTAAGTCTCGCCAACGGCCAGTCCTCTGACGGGCAGCTTATTACTGGGGCGGTCGAACAGGCAGGAATCTTAATGAGTCAGTGCTGGAATACAAAATTAATAGGCGCATGTTTATCCATAAATGTTTGAGTTATTTTGTGCACTACAGCAACGCTAACATGAACACAAATCAACAAGTCTTTCTTTGTGCTTCTCTCGAGGGCTTCATTGGCACGTGCTGTCTGGTTATCTGGTTTTAAAAATGCCCCTGAGATACACAAGGTATTTATGAAACAACTGTGGACCAGTAGGGGGAGATATCACACAAGGAGGCGAGAGAGAAGCCCTGCCAGGGAGGACCTGGGTGTTTGTGCATGTGAGTCCATATACTTATGTAATTAAATGTGCTGCGTGTCATTATTGTAACAATTCACATACAGTCTCACATCCCGATGTTCTCGGGATGATTCCATCACGGGGACGAGCTCTGTCTGTGTTGGGGGTTTAAACTGTCTCTTCTTCCTCGTGTCCCGAAGCATCCATTGGGTTTCCATTGTTGCAATGACGCCTGATCAATTCAGAAGCTTCCACGCAGTAATGAGCTCAAGCTGCTAAATGGAAGGCCGATACCCTTGTAATCGGAGCTGGAGTGAGAGCGCCAGGGCCAATCCCCGCAGATTAGCCGGGAATATGAATTAATGAGGAAGGATTAAGGTGACAGGTGGTTTCGATGTGCTTACAGTGGGAAGCAGCCATGGAGCTGTAAGTGAGGGAGTCTGTTCTGAATCAACATGTGTAATGTCCTGTCTTGTGGTGTTATTCTTGCTGAATACTTTGAAGAACGAGGTGTTCATACCAACTGGATTGCGCCAAGAGTCAACCAAAGGAAAAAAGTAGCATTACCGACCTTGCGGTTGTACGTCTCCGCCAACCAGTCAAGTTGGAGTTTGGATCCTTGTCTCACAATCCAGGCTCGAACAACATATGTTCAGAAGGAACTGAATATAAGGTATTACAGGGAATATTATAATGTCCCCTTGATGCTGACCTTTGACCTTTATAGCCTAAAAGACATTTGGAGGAAACGTTGTCACGATGAGCACATGGATTCTTGAGTTGCTTTGGGAGGTCGAATTGACCTTTGACCTTTGACCTCCAGAGGATAATAAGTTCATCCTTGATTCCAAGCGAGCGTTTCTGCCAAATTTCATGAAATCCCAAACATGCCTCCAGCCACAGCTGTCATCAACACAGAGGCATGAATATGAATCCGCTGCATCAATGTGCGTCATAGTTATCAAAACAAAGCCGTTACAGTGATTGAGTGGTTTCCATGACTACAGCCGGTGGAAAAGCATAGCAATGGGATGGTGTTTTTACTGTACACACAACAAACACATATACAGAGGCAGCGTACTTTGAGAGCTTTCTGTGCTGGTTCACTGGAGCCGATGACAATAAGGCCGGGTCCCCCCATGCTGCAGAAGCTTTTCAGGTGCAGCCCCTGCTGCACCGGCACCGTCGACACAGCGTAGTCCTGCAATAACACAAATTCAGTTCGGTGAAGAAAACAACTGGAAGTGATGAACTTCATGTCGATAAGACAGAAATAAAAACAGTTGTTGTGGTGGTGTGCATATCTATAATGATCTCTACTGCTGTACAATGTATTTCCTCACCACTGATACCAAAAGGTTGGGGAACAAAATATTACAAACTAATTTCTGTGTGAGTTCATGCCCATAAGATAATATTCATAAAATGTAGTACTTCCTTTATTAAAAAGGATTTCATGTCATATGGGTGACTGTGGGTCAGGATGTCCAGACGGTGGTCCATTAACCAGAAAGGTCTATATATATATATAAATACAGTCCATTTACCACGTGTCATTGGGTTAAACAGGAGTGACAACTCTGCTCCCTTCAACCTAATTCATTATTCGTGTGCATTTCAGTCTCCTTCTGAAACCACATTCACTAAATCCAGATTTTACCTGGATCTGAAACAAATTGCACACACTCCTAGATATCAGTCCATCTAAACGTGGTAAATCATTTTTGCTGAGAAATCAATTAAAATTTCTCAAACTTCTGGATCCACACGGGTTCAGTGTTTTTTTGCGTAAACCTGCTAACAAACCAGTACAACCTCCTGGAGGTGATAAATAAAGAGCAGAGTTGTGCAGTAGGGTCTCAAGTGGCCTTTAAAATAGAGTGGTGGGCAGCTCGGAGTGGGAAACAGCAGGAGCGAGTGGAGGATGATGTCACTGAGCCGAGGGCTCATAGGGGAGATTACAGAGCGACTCGTAGGAGTGTGATTGGAGAGGATTTCCCCGGCTGCAGGAAGTCACAGACCACATGTTGTCATCAGAAGCTTTATATAAACAGAGGATTAACAGAATTTTAAACAACTGCCATTGATAACAGTTTTCAGACGTGGGAATGATACTGACTTTTACTGCTCTCAGCATCTTTGTAATATAAAAATAAAGTTTTAACATTCAAGAAAATATGTTGTAATCACAACTTAACAAGCAAAAATCAAAGTTAAAGATTTTAAACTACTACTGCTGCACCAGGGAGTGTGTGGGAGTGGTTTGATGAGAGTTATGGCAACATAAGCAAACAACACAACAGCCCGTCATCACATTTTTGCTTGAAACGTAACTGAGCTCTGATTGGTGCGTGGAATCAGACGACCCCCCCCCCACACACACACACACCAAACCAGTGAGAAAAGCAAGAACCAAAACACAGAAATAGAAATCTCTGGTGAAGGATGCAGTGTGTGTGTGTGTGTGTGTGTGTGTGTAGGACCTCCACCCTCATTGGGAGAAAATAAATGATTCATATCTAAAAGCAGAATTCAACAGTTGAATCCAGACTTTGCTGGTTTGTTTGTAAGAACAATTACGCAAAAAAGCAACTAAGCAGATTACCACAAAACGTTGTGAGAGGATGTGGGTCATGGACGGAAGAATTAGATCATACATTGCAGAAACAGTATCTCACCACTTCCTTCATGTGGATTTTAATTCCCTAGACTAAAAGAATTTCCCACTTTCAAACTGATCAATTCAATTCCTGATAAAGTTTGTGAAACACATTCAGTCATAGAGAATCCCGTGGGTCCATCCGACGCTCAGAAACCTTGAAGTGATACAGAAGAGCTGATACTTATTTTCCGAGAACTTTCCTTCCTGAACCTATGTGAATACATTTATATAACTGTTTCTGGTTTGTGCCTAAGAAAATAACTTCATCTGACATCCATGTGTTTTGTTAATCACAAAGTATGTTTTCAATGGGAATTTTTTCTTCTTATTCCTCTAAGGTTCATAAAACTCTGTGAAGTGTTGTGTACATTTTCCATCGTCAAACTCTCTCGTGTCATTTTCCGTTCACGTACACTCCGCGGTTAAAAAACCTCTCAGGTCAACGTTTGTGTCCGCCGTCATTAGCTCCATTAAAGTTCTGCAGTTCACTGGAATAGTTATTGTGACAGAAAAACACAGCTCGTCATGCAAATAACTCTCCCCCAACCTTGATGTTTTCCTGAACTTATTCCTTGGAACTTATTTAGAAGATACAGAAGGACAAGTGGGAATTATGCAATCTAAACTTTCTTCATCTCTTATCCCTGAACAGGAAATTCTGGTGTAAAATTAGACATTTGAGTTGTTTTGCTTTTTTCTCTTTATCAAGATCAAATCCCGAGGGGGAACTAAGGGAGAGACAGAGTCGCTTTCCCTCTGCGCTCGCAGGCTGATATTCTGCCACGTCGTGACCTGAAAAGACCTGATTGTGGAGCCCAGATGTAAAGCACACATCTGTAGAAGCCATGTAAGTTATTGGTGCGAATTAGGCGTCAACAACTCTTAGCTTTAACAGCAAAGAAGTGGTTTCACCTTGAGGTTACTTCCCCCGAAGCAAAACGATTCCGTCAACAGCAACAATTACTGTGACCTGTGCGAGGGACCGTGCAGAAAAGGAGCTGTAACATCTGCACGCAGTTGCGGAGCGCTAAACAAAACTGGCAAGAACGTGATCGTTAATTTGATAATGAGAGGAAAAAACAACAGTGACAGAGGGAAGCCATCAGATATAAAACGGAAAAAACAATAATGGACGCTCAAGTGATTTTTCCTTGTTTCATTTGCCAGAAACGCATCATTAAGTCCCGTCTTCTCAAAGATAACAGAAAACACAGAGGGATCAATCAGATGCAGATGGGAAGATGGAGGCAGTAAAATGAGGCCGTTCAGGTTATTGTAATGAGTTGAACTCTTGGAGCCATGACCCACCTCTGAACTGTGGTCATGGTCCCTCCGGTCAGACCCAGAAGAAGTTTGCACAATGAAACTGAGAGAATCTGACTGACCCAAACTGTGACTCTGTTTACTGACTGGACGTTTAAATCCTCCCTGAAACAAATCTGTTGTCTCAGCGATGTCGGGGATATTTTTTTCGGAATATTTCCCTCTGTGTCATTTATGGAGAAGGTTGAGCTCAGTTGTGGTTATCGTGGTCAGGCCGCAGATCTCTTAGTCAGAGAGCAGTGGGAAAAGGAAAAAAACATGATGGAATAGTTTCCAATACAAAATCAGTGACACTAACCGGGGCTGAAAAGAGATATTGATCAGACTCACACACATACTGTTGCACTTTCCTTGAAGGATGAGGCTTGTGATCAATATTTTTCTAAACTGTCAACAAATCAGACAAAAACCAACGATGTGTTTCTCTGTCTCTCTGCTCCAAGTCTGTGGTTTTCTGCCCCGAGATGATTTGTTCCTACTGGAGACATTCACCTTTAAAAATCTGTGACAAACACAGTTTAAGAAAAGGCTAAAACATAACTTGTTTTTCAATGAGAGAGGAACGCTTTAGAAAAACAGCTCACAGCTAAACAGTGAGCAAACAATCGAGTCAATAAGATGTTTTTAAACGTGGTTCTTCTAGCAACAATTCATGTCTATGTTTATTTATGTTCCCTTAGGGCTGAGCATTGTGGGCGATATGGCCAAATATCATAAAGAGATAAATGTCAAATTATTTTAGGTTTAAAGGCTGTTTGTTGCTCCTGAGATGATTTTGTCAAACCCTAACAACAAAGAAATGTAACTGAGGCTTTATATTTTACAGTTTGACCTTAATCTTAATCATGGATTACTGTCAACAAAAAGAAAACACAAATACAGCCAAATATATACACAGCTTAATGTCAGGGTTTGTGTAGAGAGCAGGTGGACCCACAGAACAGGGAGCAGGCCCAGCAGGAAACAAACAGCAAAACTGTCCAAGAAAAGAGGACAAGGCAGGAAAAAACCAACAACCTGAGAACAAAGCTGGCAGAGACTGTAACAGACGACAGGACAGGGACAGAACTGAGGACTTGACTTAAATACAAACTGAACTGATGACAAACGAGAGACAGCTGGCAGAGGACAAACAGGTGAAACACATCAAGGCACACACACAGGCAGGAAGTACAGAGAACAGAAACACGAGGGAGATCAGAACTCCAAAATAAAACAGGAAACACAGAATGAAACACAGAACGAACACAAATCTGAAAACTAAAAGTCAAATAACCAAAATAATCCATAAAGAGAAAAGTCCAACAAAACCCCAAAACTGTGCTTGACTGGCAGTCACACATCTGCCTCCAGCAGAGCACAGTGAACATGACGAGGAAGAAATGGAGGCTGGATGAAGAATAGATGCGATGGACAGAGACAAGCGGGGGGTGGAGTGAGGCAGAGAAGGCAGGAGGGAGAAATAGAATTAGAGAGAAAGTGAGATGTAACAGAAGGAAGAGATGCATTATGATGGTAATGATGCTTTTATCTTCCTGCTGCAAAGCTTTTAGGGATTGAAAACCTATTTATCTCTTCCTCTCAGTTCCGTCATGTCTGATCGCTCGTAGCAGATTTAGGCTCAGGGACAATTTCAGAGACTAAAGACGACAGAGTGGTCATTGTGTATTTGGAAAATGAAAACTGTACAGAGAAACAGATCCAAGGCAATCAAATGCATTTCTGTGTTTTCGTTGAATCTCGTTTTGGTTTGCATGTTCTTGCTCCACAGGTTTTATTTTCCTGGTCCTCCGGCTCTGGCTTCCTCCCACAGCCCAGAGACATGCAGACAGGGATTAGGTTAATTGGAGACTCTAAATTGTTCATAGGTGTGAATGGTTGTTTTTGTATGTCAGCACTGCAATTTGCAAATCCCAACTCCTTGCTGCCCTCAAAGGAAAAGAAGCTTAGATAATCGATGGATGTATTTTCGCTGTTTTTCAAATCAACGCACCGCCTCTAATCACCTTAAACGCATCAGCTAGGATCTCGGCTCCTCTCTGATTGGTCCGTTTGGAAAGGCCCACAAAGAACTCTCGACCTGCAGAAAGAATCAGATGAAAATGAAGTTAGGGAAAATACCTATCAGATATACAGGAAGGTGATCAAATCTGATGAACCAGAGCAATGTGCAGCAGCAGCATCTCTTTATGCTTTTTTGCTGTGGTCAGTGTGTTGAAACACAATCAGACGGAGCTCCGATCCCCTGCCCAGGCTGCAGCACACTGAGCTCAGGACCGGGCTCCTAATGTAGCCGCTGAGCCTTTAAGGGAATGAGCCTTAGCCCGGGCCGAGCCAACAGGAAATGTTTCTAGCCGTGCCATGTGAAACCGATTTCAGCTGGAAGGAGCGAGAGCACACAGCCAGTGTCTAGAAACCCAATTAAGTGTACTATGCATTTTCCTCTCAGCCTGTGCAGCGTAGAAGACATTGTCCCATATTTTAACTCACAACACAACAGTAACACAATGTACAGAAGATATAATACAGACCACCATGCTCCTGGTTCACGACCTGCATCACTTTTATGACCTGATGGCAGAGTAATAAGCGTCCACGGCGAGAGCCTGAGGTCCTGCTGATGTGATTAGACCGTTCAGTACAGCGCGCAACATTTTTGCTGCAGATTATTTTTCGGGGGAATTTCTGAGCTGAGGCACAGGTTCATCGAGGTTGCAGAGGGCGAGTTTGCGTGGAGGATCTTCTCTGCTCACTTATTAAACCTTCTATGACTGTAGAAGCTGCAGGCTCTGATATCTCACTGCTCTCCAAGGTTTCACGTTTGCAATCACAAAAATATACCTCAAAAATAACATTTACATCTACACAACATAATATTGCTGCTTTATTATGTTTGTTGCAGTACAGAGAAGCAACGGCCAGGAAAAGATCATGAATGTTGCTACTGGATGCACTAAATGGGTTTTAACATCTTTTTAAGATTTAATTTGTCCAAAACCTTACAGATGATGGCCCTGTATGAAAAAAGAAATATGCAAGGATGAATTATGACGTTTGGGGGGATTGTGTAATCAACCTGCGATGGAGGAGGCGGAGTAATTCACCTGTAAAAAGAACATCTCCTCCGTCCAATGTGGCATTTTCATCAGTCATTTCCACGATGTTCAGATTCAGATCCTTGAGAGCTCCACTCATTGCCTCCGTCTGGAAGAATCACAAACAGAAATTCCCTTAAAGCATCTGCTGATATTTAACAAATGACTGAATCTCCATGATGGAGTTAAGTTGAACCATCATTCGCTCCGATCTATCAGTGTTTCCTCTCTTCAGGAATATTATGATATGATCCAGCTCTAATCAGACATCTGTAAACAAGAGGAAAATCAGTCTGAGGACTCTCCCTGCAGCTTTCTTCAATGCACAGTATTTAGCAGAGTAAAACAAAACCCTTTCTCTGCAACAGGTTGCAATGACATCATCTCAATGAGCTATGAAATTGTGTCTTTTTGGAGGAAGTATGTAAAAACATTTACAAGGACGCAGATGAGGAAAAATATGTACGGAGCCTCTTCCCGTCCTCATGTTCCGGGTCATCTGTCTTTCATATGTGTGCCTGGAAGGAAGAAAAGATGGCTGCCATCCGGAGAACATTTGCATATATTATGTAATGCATTCACTGGATGGAAAATTAGGAGAAGGCCTCATTTCACTTGCAATCACTCTCTTGCTGAACTCAAAAACTGAAAGAGAGAGAGCAGTTCTTTGTTTTTGGTTTTCTGTGTGACCTCTGACCAGTCCGCTCTCCCCTCCGACCGCCCAGACAGATTGGAACCGCCCTGTTTTTGGGGTTCCTGCGAGAGTAGTTTCCAAGAGCAGTCATGTTAGCGAGAGCATCAGTGTTTCCACAAGCCCTATCTCACTATGACCTCAGTCTGCTCACTGTGCTTTTTGGCGAACACAATGCTCCTGCTTCTACTCAAGGTCCAACCATGAGGTCACACAGGTAGACTGCCATGCACTTCCCAGATCACACAATAGAGGCCTGTATGCCCACATGACTGCGACAATGTCACAGCAACACACACGTAGCACAAATGCATACACAGTGGTATTGTTCAATGCATTGCTACCAGGTAGTCTTTATTTGATTTTACAGGTTTTTGCAGGAACGTCTTTTACTTTAAATAGCCTCGAGACCCAACGGCTCCCAACCAAAATGGCATCTTTCCAATCTATTCACGTTCCAGAAGTAAGACAGTGGAATCCCACAAAAGAATCAAACTTTTCTCCTCCATGTTTCATATTCACTGCAGGCATTTTGCTCATCTTTCTGCTTCAGATAACCCGGAGGAACACGGCGTCCTTCCAAGTTTCTGGGTTCACAAATTCATTAGTGGTTTCTTAAAAGCTCTGACAGCTGCAGTGTGCAGCGTATCAAAGGTAACAGTTAATCCCTGTTATTTTTTTGTTAGTGCAAAGAAAAGGCAAGCCAAGGCATCGCCGAGGCCCTCTCTGCTTTTCATTTTGTTGCGTTTGTAGATAATGTTGAGTGGCAAATGAAAGTTTGAGTCTCGTTCCGAGGAAGTAAACAATCCGGATGATTGATGAGAACTTGTGCTTTTAATGTTTGCCTGAAGTCATGTGCTGTGTTGTCTTTGCGTGTCAATGCTGCGGAATCTTAGCTGGTCCCAATATTCTTATTACTGCATCATCATACATAAGGAAACTTCGGTCAAATTAGCCAAATCAGACTCTGCTCCATGGAAATCCCGTCCTGCGCAACACAGCTGCATAGCAGCATCCTCATAGCCCCAAAGCTTGAGAACTGATTCTCTGATTATACCTTTCTTCATTAGTCACTGTATAATACTACGCTGTCATTATCAGTGACTCCTTTTTCCATTTTTACTTTCTGTAGTGTTCTGCTGATTCCACTATCACTGTGGTCGTTCGCCCAGGAATCTGCTGGCCTGCGTGAGGCAGCCCTTTACCTCAGCTCTCTGGCATTTCCTCTGACATCACTGAAGGTGATGTGACCCAAAGGGTGTTTAGACCCKCCCCCCCKCCCCACACACACACACACACACACACACACACACACACACAAGGATCATGTGGAACATAATGGCCTTTATAGACAGACATCAGAACAGTGTCTGCTCTGCTGCCGCTTCATTTGTTTTACAAACCATCAATTATTCTATTCTTTCAGAGACGTGAAAAGCAAAGCTTGAGTGTTTGGATGAGAGGTTCAGTCCACATGGAAAATAAGACGTGGCAAAAAATATCAAAGATGGTTGAATAGAAAAAGAACTAAAAACAAAGAAGAAGAAAAATCTACATTTGAAAAGAATAATAAATTTAAACTGGGTCACCACGTTTAGTGTACACAGAGGAGAAGATTGAGTGCGGTGAGGTAATGGTCTTGTGTATACAGTTTGTGAATGGTCAGGCAAGCCCTGCCTACACAGAGTTAAAGTACAGACATACTGTCATTTATCTATAAACCACAAGATGCTGCTGAAATCCTGCAAGAAAAGAATAGTAAAAAACGGTTTGAACGATTCTTGTTGGCAACGAACGGCTTCACGTGAGACCGAAACCCCTCCCTGACACTGCCACACCTACAAATTTCTACATTCTTCATATTGTTTACAGCCCGTTTGGACGCTGCCATCAGCAGGTCGTAACAGAAACCGTGATTCATTGAAGCAGATAACCTATATACTTGTGCATAGTTGGCAGGATGCGCCTTTTTCCTGCTGTTCCTGCTCCTACACATCCACCGCGAGGTCCAATGAGGTTTTTCGTGCTGACATCCCTCTCTGCGATTATTGATATCTAAAGCTGCTATTTCCAAATATTTCAAAACTCAACAAATTTCTTCCCACATGGCTCCAGCTGAATGGATTGATCACACATTTCTTCATAAATTCTGTCTAGCGTGGGGATGTCACAGAAGAATGGAGGTACTAAGATGTCATAGCTGCATAAATCATACATGTTGCACACTGCAACATTACATCAAACCTCTCTGTTGGCCGTGTAGAGTCACAGTAATGTTTCTCACAACAGAAAAAGGAAGAGCCTTTAATTTAACAGGCAGGTTTTCTACCAAGACAAAGCAGCCAATGAATATAACTGTCTCTTTGTAATATAATTTAATTACTTCTTGTTTGTTCTGAGTTTTGCTAAAGGTTATGGCAGCATCAAGGGCAGTGAGAAGGATTAACAAAGCTCTGCTGGCTGTTGCATATAGGAAAAGAATTAGCATGCTCCCCGTAGATATACTGTTATCTACAGAGAATAAGGTTGAAAGCTGAAAGTCTGAATCTTCCTCTAGTAGTTCAAGTTGCAATATTTCCTGATTCAATCTTTTTCAATAGTTATTGAACTTTCTGGTTTGCAGAAGTTATGAGTGCTTCATTACCTTTGTCATAAAAGGTGGCATGAAGTAACAATCAATACAGATCAATACAATATTAAGCTGAAGCCAATTTTCTACTGTGGCTCTCAGTTATCATTGATTGTGATGTTGGTAGCAGTGGTTAGTTCTGTTGCCTCACAGCAGGAAGGTTCTTGGTTTTCAGTCTTTCGGTGCAGAGTTTGCTTGTTCTCACATGTCTGCTTGGATTTTCTTTGGGTATTCAGGTTTGGTTGACTGGAGACTCTAATTGACCATAGTTGTGAAATGTGTGCAATGGTTATTTGGTTACACTGGCGGAATATACAGGGTGTACACCGCCTCTCATCCTGTAGCTTTTATTAGGACCTCTTTTGGCTGATACTATCATTTGTGCACAGTTAACAAGGCTGACAGTTCCCACCTTCCCAGTCGTATCAGTTTAAGGTTAAACATTCACACATTCATAACTCTAGGCAAAAAAATATTCGTGTAAATTGTAGAAATGGAAATTAACAAGTGCCTGTTAAATAACCTGACATTTACAATTTGACACGATGAACTTTCTACCAATTTTTCTACCAATTAACGTCAGTTCGTTGTTTCTGACTCTGCACATTGGTCTTTTTTTCTTCCTCTCCTCCTTCGCTCTCTTTCTGTCTTTGTCTCTTACATTCCCTGTATTTTCTCTCGACCCTTGTGCCAGGGTCAACAACGCTCCTGCAGTAGCTTCCCATGCACAGCGCCCTATTATCTCTCACTGTGAGGGACATCCAATACCCCATCCTGCCTAGGTGCCAACTCGCTTTGCCAACACTTCCTTCTTTACTCCCTCCATCCCCCCGTGCTCCTCTCTTCGTCTCCCCCTCTCTCCTCCTTTCCCGCCCCGAGTACTCAGCCAGGCGACATGCTATTAGCCAGCACCCCCTGCTTTGAATGAAAAAGGCCTTTTAAAATTCATTAGGGGCAGAAGGCTCTGAGGGCCAGTCGGTCTGCCTGCCACATTCCTGCCGTTCCAGCACAGGATAGGGGAGACGGAGCAGAGAGAACAGCCTTTTATTTGGGTCTTTTTATGGACCCCCTTCTCCCTTGTCTCGCCCCTGGTACCCGTGGATATCGCATTCTGCTAAAAAGGACCATCAGTCTGATAGGGCACCGTGCATTTGGAGAGGGAATAGAGAACACAACAATAGCATTCCTGAAGGTCATCCTAGCCTCCCTACCCCAGGCAACACAGTCCCACGCTCCAACATAATGGAGATGCAGCATTCCTCTGAGCTTCACACGCAAGGAGGTCAACCTCTTTAAATGACAGTTATCAGCTGCAGTTTGTGTATTAACACAATGCCGGACAATTAGGAGCTGCGAACACTGCATTGACATACCATGCCATCGCCATCACAGAGGTGATAAACCAAATGTGTTAGCAAGCAGTTGCCTATTTACGTATCCAGCAATTAGTATAATGAAAAGCAATAACAGCATTGATCTGGAGTCATATTTGTGGCCACCAAAAATAATCTTCGCTAATTTTAACTCTATTTTGATCTCCACCATGTCCTTAGGGAAATATCTGTCTTTTTCAGCAGGCAAATCCTCAATCCTCACCACAAGCAACCCACTACATATTATAAAAAGTATTCTGCCACATTTATATTATAAAGATGTTTACTGGTGTAGCTTTACAGATATTTATAATGTCTTAACCTGAAATGACTCAAAAAGGATATCAAATGTTGTTGACACATGGGCACAAGTTTAAACAGCGAGTCTTGTGCGTCACAGCTAAAGCTTTGGCTGGACATCGGGGACACAGATGATGATTGCAACAGATAGCAAAGCTGAGTTCAAAGACCAATGGAGTACAGAATAGGAGTAATGACTGCGTTTCAAGGCAATCGACCGAATGGAAAAATAAATGCACGGATCTCATATGCAGCAAGTAGCTTGATAAGGCTATCAGAACCTTTCAGGTAAGTCTCTGGCGTCAGATGATTCCTTTGGTTTGCTGAGATGAGTGAGTGCAATTAAATGGTTCTATGATAGATTTGTCAAAAGTTTGCCAGGGGCAGACATTTCACAGAGTGCTTGTTTAGAGGGAGCGCCTGTAGGCTCGAATAAATGGCAGCCATGAGGGAGAAAAGCAACACAAGCTGTAAAGAGGTTCTGACAGGGCTGTTATTACAGTTATACACCTCTTACACTCAAAAAAATACACAACATTCAAAGGATGCACATAGAAAAAAGGGTAATATTTGAAATCACTTAATGTTTTTTTTTTCAGGAATCACAAAGGACACACAGATCACACAGGTGGTTTCATACATGGAAAATAGGGCAGAGTCTGATGCTGTCACGGTGGCCAAACGGCACATTCCTAACTGCGAAGGTTTGCACTGTCACAGTGTGTAACCGAAGTATGAAATGACAACAACTCATTTAGCAGAAGCCAAGAGAAAACAAACTCTCGGTGGCCTGTCCTCGCATTATCTAAACAAATCCTCGGTGTATGTTGGAACATACCTGTGGTTAACCAAGCCATGACATCGCCCCCCTTTCCCTTGCACTCCCCCATCGGCTTAAAGATTACATAAATGTTGAGAAGTAGGTCAACGTGAAGGCTTGCACAGTTAACAGTAGCGGATCTGGAGACCCTCGCACCACATCGACCACAAGAATCTGGCAGGAGGTTCCAGTAAAAGAGCTGTTTTAGCCAAATCGGCTGCAATGTCAGACGACTTTCAGTCAGGGCTCCCAGGATATCAGGGCCCTGAGGAGGAAAATGCCACACTATAGTCCTGCTTAGACACATTTACAGCCGGCTGAAGGGCGGGAGACTACAGCCGTGCCAGGATTAAACAAATCAATTGAAAAAAGAGAGAGAGGAGTAAAGTTAAAAGTGCATGACATCGTGGCTCAGATTGTTAAATGGTGTATCTTTGTAAAAGCATTGGGTGTGAGGGACATAATTACATTTCTGAGAGCTCAGAGAGGCTGTTGTAAATGTAATCACACATTAAAGCGTGGATGGATGGTTGTGTGTCGAGATTCAAGAAACAAGAATAAAGACTTCTCCATGATTAGTTTTCAATCAATACTCGAGTGGCTCTTTATAATCTGCTCCTTTTATTAAAGTTTAGATAGAAAACAGATTGGAAGAGAGTAAAACTAAATCTGAACTAAATTCAACTAAAACTATATATGATCATGAATCTATTATAGAACATAGTTGTCAATTTGTGTCCTGGACTGAAGCGTAGATATAAAAAATAGAATATGCCTGTAGGTGTGAATGTGAGTGTGAATAGTTGTTTCTATATGTCAGCCCTGTCTAGCATGTACCCTGCATTTGTCCCAATGTGTCCCAAGTTCAACTTTTCCAAATTAATTTCAAACTCGAGAGATAATCATAAAACTTCTTACACATCCACAAAGATTTGTGCTGTCTTGCGATTTTTCATCTGCTCACGTATTTTGGAACTTGCTGATAAAAGCCACTGATCGGATACAACTCAGCGTAAAATCAGTATCATCGATCGTCTTCAAAAATGCGCTTTAAGAGGCTCACCGACATGTTAACTAGAATAATCTGCGACAATTACAGCCAATCAGGATGCAGAATGGGATGAAGACTGTGGCTGAAAGATTGTGCAGTGTGTGACCAGTCTGAACTAATTAAAGGAAATATTTAGAGATGTCCTCAATAGAGAAGGGGTCGGTTAAGTTACATCTTGTACTGTAACACCTTGCTGGCCACAGTGCAGACTCACATAGAAAGACACCCATGCGGAGCCGAGTGCTACGAAAATAAACAGAAATATGAGTCTGTTTGACAAGTCCAAAGTCTGTCCCAGAGCAAATAAAGTCCTCGCTCCAATCAGCAGGGCTGTAAAGAATGTGTCTGCTGCCTACCTCTCACTGTGATGGCTCCACAAATACAGGAGGGCTGCGGGCTAGGAACTGCTGGAAAGCAGAGGGACGGAGGTTGCTGAGGTGAGCCTCCACCATGGGGAAAAACACAGGGGGCTTCAGTAAATACATCTCCACTGACTCCTCCGTGTTTATTGGGTTTGACCCCCACAGACTGGACCCCGTACCCAAACAAGGGGGAAAAGCTAATAAACATGCCTCCCCCAGAGAATTACAGTCCAGCCTTGCCTGACTACACTGATTTGATAGAAAATATCTCATCAAACATCACCGCACCACCTAAGACATTGTTACCACAAAGCGGAAGATTTATTACCTCTGCAGAGGAAATTATGTTTCACCCTATTCCATTGGTTTGTTGGTTAATTTGTCTGTTTGTTTGTTTGTCAGCAGGATGACGCAAAAACTACTTCATGGATTTATAGGAAACTTGGCGGAGTGGGACGTGGGGCAAGAAAGAAACCATCAATGTTGGCACTGATCCAGCCAAAGGGACAGATCCAAGATTTTTTTAAACTTTGTTTAACATTGGCATTTGTTGACAGATTTTCCAGAGAAAAATATGTGGATGAAAACAAATCATACTCAATCATTTATTTAGTATGGGGAATTTGGTGATTCATGATTGAATTTCTTTTGACAAACAATCTGACTTCCTCTTCAAGCATTGCTGCAATGCTGGCTGGTTATGACATCAGGAATGCTTCTTGTGCTCAAAACAAGCATGCCCCCCAGGTCACTCTGTACCACTGGCATGTAATGCCGATAAACTGCGTCTGTAACCAAAACTTCCAGTGTTTCATCACACCAAGTGGACAAAGTAAAATATTCCAAAGATTTGAGGCTGAGCGTAAGCAAAAGAAGTGGTTCCACTCTTCCAGCTCTTCGCTGATAAACTGAGATTTATACTAAAGCATTTACCTGTTATTATCCAAAGCCATAAAACACTAATAGCCAAACCAGTGAAAAGTCATATTTCAGCTCTATAGTGAGCACAGGACAGTCCGTGTTGTCTGTGTTGAGAATGTACAGACAAAAAGAAGCTGTACATCCTGTCCTCCTCTCTTCCTCCCTTCCTTTTTTCTCAAGGGAAACCCAAGTGGGAAACTCTACTCGCCGTCACCTTTGGCCTACCTGGGCCGACAGAAACAAGACCACCCACATCTTCGGCAGAGGGCGGCGAGAAGTTCAAGGTGAGCAGATTGTGTGTGTCAATCACACCATGTGTTACAGTATAGGTGTAAAGCCTGTGTGTGTGTGAAGAGGGTCATATATTTTAAAACTGTAGAGTCCATAGTGTTTAAAGGACGTGTTATAGCCCATTTACTACAAATTACTTCATAACTAAACCATGTAAATCCAGGGTTTGGATGTTTGAGTGTGTTTCCCATAACAAGCATCAACTAGTTTCAATACAATTTAATTAAACATCTTTATCATAAGATAAAGCAGTCAATCAATTACAGGAATTGTTTCACTTTTTATCAAAATAAGGGATGGATGTCTAGAAAAATATGTTAAAAAATGTAAAACTATATAGATAATCGACACATAAAGGGTCTGATCACGCAAATTAAAAGTGACTTGGCGGTACACATACAACTGGTGTGATTAAAGATTGAATTCCAGGTGGTTGAAGCGAGAAATCGAAGAAGACCTTTTTCAGATGTTGATAAGCCGCAGACAATGTCAGTGGTTCATTGGAACTTGGACTTTCTACTGCCAATGAAAACGGTACAAAGCGTTCTAGATAATTGTAAGAAAGTGAGGCACCGTCTATGGAAAAACAGATGTCAATGTTGTAAGTATGTTTTAATGAAAGAGACAATTCAGCCAGATCTGAGAACAAGCTGTAATGTTTATACCACAAAAGTAGTCAAGTTAATATCAGTCTTATGGCCCCAATTAAAAAGGATTCAGTGCAGTGATTTGGTAGGAAGAACAATTGAAGAAGTTAATACATGCAAATAAAGTACCGCAATCCTTAAGTGAAGGCGTTGGCAGCCTGAAAGTGTGAGAAGCTGTTTTTGAACAATCAAATCAGCTTAATGACATTCAGAGACAGGATGAACCACAGTATTATGGCAATATGTTCCACATCTTGTGGAAGTACATATGGTGGAGGGCTAAAAGTTGAATGGAAAGTGGAATGCCTGACAACTGTAACCATAAGTCAGTTCCCATAACCTATATGGGATTATATTTTCCGAGCACTCTGGTGCTCTTTGGCCCTTACATCATCCAAATCTGCCATGTGTACCAAAGATGATTCAATTGAGATGATTTGAGCTGGAATCCCCATTTTGTTTGTTTTTGTTCCACTGGTTGAGGCCCCATGGAAAGCCAAAGTAAAAATACCCAGAGCTCCCACATATTTAAGTTATTTCAACATTTGTGAGGCCCTAGGTGTTCTACGGAATGGAATGTCCAACCAAACAGTCTGCGATGGTTTGTATGAAGTTATGTGGACCGGAGCCTGACCTACCACTGCCTTTTCCAAGGGAGGAGACAGATATGTTTGGTGTGGAGGAGAGAGAACAGAGCAGCAAGAGGGGTCGAGGAAAGAGGCGGAGAGTTTGGGTGAGTCATCTTCAGATTCAATTTTTGTTGAAGGCTTCCCCCTCTCTCTCTCGCTCTTTATTCCCTCCCGAGCAGGGAGGCCTCTCGGTGGATGGTGCCTGCTCGCTGGGAGAAAGAGGAACCCCTGACTAAGAGGTCAGGGAAGCCACACAAGTGAGGAGGGAGTAGAGGGGAGTGAGAGTCAGAGAATTTTGACCTCGCTGAATATGAGGAGTGAGACTGACAAGAGCTGCTCCCTCAAAAATGCCTCCAACACCAACAGTTCTTGTTCATACATTCTGAAAATTTGCTAAAAACAAGAATTCGGTGAAGTTATATAACCACAGTACTTGACCCCTTATGAAGCCACGCATGCTGTTTGGACTGAAAGAAAATCTGTTGTCTTTTCATATCTGCATTCTTCTCATTGTTGAGATGTTCCAGTGGTTGCTCCTCTTTGCTTGGTCCAAAACTCTAAAAAGAACCTGGAAACACAGAGCGTTCTGCAGAAAGAAAACACCATCATACCACATGGATACACCCACGCTTTCCAAAGAATGTAATGGATGTGATCCCAAAGGGGAAAGAAGTTGACTCTGCCAGGCAAAGTACAGACTAACTGCCCATTATGAGGGATTTCCCAAAACAGCCTAGTGAAGCTGGATGTATGGGAGGGGCTGGTATGGAAAAATGAGGAAAAGGAGTATGTGTTTTAATCTTGTAATGCGGAAAAAAGAGCAAGATGGGCCAAAAGGTTTCCCATAAATGTTAATGAAGGGCTTTCCCAGAAAGATTTTTTTTTCTTTCTCCTCTTCAGCATGAAACAAGAGGTCAGGTGCTGATGTTAACCAGCAGGGCTGAATCCCAGAGACCTCCCTTTAAAGTTTAGCAGACGGAAACCACCTGGAATTAACCATGAAGGGATTTAATCGTGAAGTAGCTAACTTTGGATGGATGATGTGTTAGAAGAACTGAGCAGGTCTCGTTCACAGAGAAGCAAACACGTCTGAGAAAATCAAAAAATACAGTAACTGCATCGTTTTTTTTCTTTAACTTAGACACAGGGAGAATTTAATGTTGCTTGTATCTTTATTGTTCAGGGTCTCTCTTTATTGTTGTCAAAACAAAACATGGTTGAGTCTCCTCTGATTCACTCTTTGTCCGAGTCAATAGCCACGTCCTGAGTTAATTTAGGAGCGGTTAAGCACATCGCTAAGTGCCGGCCCAGGGCAGTAAAAAGCAGCTTTGGCTAGATTTAAGACACCATAGATCACTGTAGTGTCGGCTGAAGGCGCCGCACTCGCAACAAAACAAGTCGCTTGTGTTCTGAGGCGTCTATTTAATATCTTCAGGGAGACAGTGAATGATGCACTCACACACCTCAGCCTGTGGCCTTAAATGAATGGTTTAAATCCATCACAGTAGAATCTGATCTGTACATAGGCTTCATGTCAGAGTTACCTTGTGTTTCATGATGAGATACACAAAGGTATGCATGGGATATTTACTAAGGAGTGAACGATAACCAATCAGAAGCTGCACTGGGATTGTGTTTACAGTAGATGCAGGAATTGGATAGTGACAAAAATGCATCGTATCTTTGACACATCTTAGTTCAGCTCTAACGGATAATGAAACGTACCCGACAAATTACCACCACGCTGTTGTCCCCTGCTGAGAGTTGTGTCTTCAGTTGATGTGCTCACCTTTTTTTATTTCTTTGACAATGTGACAAGTTTTGGACTTTGAGATACAAGGAAAGATAATAAAAGCCTGTGTCGCCGATACAAAGTGAGATTTAACGGTTGTGCAGATGCATTTTCTGAACTAGGCCTCCTGACAGTGAGAAACAGCAGAGACAACTGAACAATGAATATTTATTTTGGATGTGCCATTACAGCCAAACCATTTGGAAATCCTACACTCAAGCAATAAAGAAGTAAGTGACTCCACTGTGTCAGTGTATCACAGTGACGCTGATTTTAGGGAGAGGATTACAGTTACATTGCATATTTACGGTCCAGACAGTTTTATTACTGTTTTATTACAGTTGATATTCTACACCCAATATTGCATCAGTGAAAACTTGCCTTAACTGCATCATTATACTTTAATGCTGTTGGCTGTGTGACAGTCTCCAGTGGTCCAGCTTATTAAAGCTGACCACTGATGTCATCATGGCTGTTTGAGGAGGACAGACGCTGATAAAATTGTGATCTTAATGGTTACAAGCCGTTGTGTACTTCCATCCATACGTTATCTGTACCGCTTATCCTTTCAGGGCCACATGGAGGCTGGAGCAAATCCCATGGCACACCCGTGACAGGTCACCAGTCCATCACAGAGACGAAATTCAGACACAAACGA